TATCAGAAATCAGCATGGAAAACAGAGCTGTTTGCATATGCACATCCAGGGAAATCAATGGACAAAAATGAAGTCTCACATTAATTTTAGACTTTTAAAACCAACACAAATGTGTTCACAGATGTACACTCACGTTGCTCCTTTAAAACAGGCATGCAAGTTCAGAAGATTTCTTTACACAGCTCAGATATGCAGAATGTGGAAGCTTTTGCAAATGCATAGTGCAGTCTTCACTTTTGTGCATACTCTCACATTAATGCAGAGTCCCTCGGTTTTATTAATTTCCTGATGAAACATTCCTTTTCCATCTGTTTTTCTTGTGTATTACATTTAGAAATGAAAAAAAAATGTTATTAGTGCCTCTAGCTCAGCAAAATTGAATGTGTGCTATATGATACACCATAATGATGGTTACTTTTGGGAAATTGCCTGCTAACTCCTTTTGCAGACCCAGGGATTTCGTAGATCTGACTCACTTTTACACCCTTCAGTCAGCAGCTCCATCCTGCTGTGCCATGTCACTGCTGCCCTGAATGGGCCCACAGGCAAGTCCAGGGTGTGAACAATGCAACATAACAGTAACAGTTTGCATGGCAATAAGCGATTAGGATGATTTTGATCTATCCTCAGTGAAAGGCAGCCCCTTTGAGCACTGCTCATTTCCTACTCCAGTCTCCACCTCAGGCACTATTAGCCTGTTACCAAATCAGAGTACAGACTTTGACTTGGTCAATAAGCACTGGTTTTAAATGTAAACACCTCTTTATTCTTGCCCCCATTTATTTGAATTGCCCTATTTCTAGGAATTAACACCCTAAAACAGTGGTAGAAGATTTTTCCCTGTTCACAGTCTAGGGTTTCAGTGAGAACTCTGCTCCATGTGTGACCTGTGATCCAGATGGGATGCTGCAATAGGGAGCAGGTCTCCAAGACCTTCACAGAGGTCATGCTGACTGCTGGGAAGCTGGGAGCTACAAAAAGAGCAACACAGCACAGACCTTACATGGCCTTAACCTCTCAACAAGATTTGCAAGAGTTCATTAGTCAAAGGCCTAATCTATCAGTGAGCTCCTTTTCATGATGGTAAAACCATACTTCTAGAGAAGAGCAGGGAGCAAGCCCCTACAAGTACATCAGCCTCTTTATGGAGGTCCTTATGGTGTCTATTTATGAGGTTATTTCCCATCCCCCTTTCCAAAACAGCTCATCTATTGAATGTAATTTAATCAACAAATGGAGTTGTCCTTGGCAGGGTATCTTCATTTGAAGAATGACTCCTCTGTGTCAGAGATGGATCCATACAACCAATTTTATTTGATTGAAAAAAATTAGCCCAATTAAATACATAAATGTTGAAGTGAATCCTTTGGACATAGTTCACTTAATAAAAATCAAATAAATATCCATTTTTAAAGAGAGCAGAAAACTGCTGGGTATTTCACACTGTCATCTCAGGTTTTCTGAAAAACAATACTCAAATCCACTTTAATTAAAGGCATAGTTATTTTTCCTGCATCATTTTTAAATACTACTTTGGAATCTATACAGAAATGTGTGTGTTTGGTAGCGGTGGATGGAGGGGTCCCCGCTTCACAATATGGGCCATCTCAGCACTATTTGGAGTGCCTATTAGTCTAATGCCTTGTCAGAGTGCCTGAAGACATGGCATTTCTTATCCAACACACCCACTACAAATTAGGCTTTTTTTCCTGTGTTCTTAGCATTGCTATTTATTTATTCTCTCTAGTTATGAGCATGTTATGGGGGAAGGGGTTTGTCATGTTTTCCTTAAGCAAAAATTTTCATTTAATTATTAACTCTAGTATATTTCTGGTTGACATTACATATCACAGTACACAATTCAGCTGCTTCTCAAGAAAGTTCTTGCAGACCCTTAACTGTACCTGCTTGTTCTTCTTCATCCTCCTCTAATATAGATTGCAGCTCCTGGTTTTTGTTTTCTCCCTTCAACCTCAACCATTTTTCTCCCTTACTTTTTCTAGGTCCAGAACAAGCATCAGTGCTGAACACCCACCTTTGCTGGCTCTGTGGTCAGACCTGTCGAGCTTTGACCCTCTCCAAGCTGCACACACATGTTCCCTGTAGCCCAGGCTGCAGCACTTGCTCTGCCATCCTGGAAGAGGAGGTTGAATGCTGTCTGCTGATCAGCATTCCTGTGAGCACATCTCCTTTGAGAGCAACCAGGAGCTAAATCATCCTCTCTGGGTCATCCTCACTGGCACCCACAGCAGCAGGGGGTGCAGGACCAGCACTCCCACTATCACCTTTTCTCCCATTAGCAAACCAGTGCAGGGCTCACAGCAGCTCAGATTTTCTGAGAGCAGATTTTGAATGCAGCGTGGTTCTTCAGACAACCCATTTCACAGGCTCAGGAACAGAAAGCATATCATCGCAGATTAATCAAATTAAATATTCAAATGAAAGCAATAATTACTTAAATTTGCCTTGAGACTTAGTAACATTAAGTCTTTGAAACATCATTTTTGGCCTGTAGGCTATAATGAATATGCCAGTCTCTAATAATTCAGAAGAGACCTAGAGGGTTGGGGTTATCACTAACCAAGAGATATTTATGAAAGACTAGCAGTGTGGTTATTAAATGGCCCTCGGACAGTACCTCTTCTTTACGGATGGTTTTGATAACACACCATCAAACAGACACTGACATTAAGTAAAAAAAAACCATAGCCAAGCATTTAAGTTCACTGCCATTGTACATGGAAAGGAGATGTTTAGTGGAAGGGCTGCCTAGCAGAAATCGCTGCAGCAAATTTCAGCTTTCATTATCATCTGTTAATTAATGTGTTGACATACAATTGCAGCAGATCAGTGAGACCAGCACTGCTGTCAAGTCTAGGCATTTGTCACACACATGGGCTGTGTGCTCCAGCTCCAGAAAACACAGTCAAAGCCTTCACAGTTAATGCAAGACTTCTCACGGTCCTGATGCGTACCTGGAAGGAAAGCTGCTAGATGACATTTTTTACATTGGTTTCTTCACTGACTTTTAAGGCAGAGTGACCAATTTATGCAAATATCTGACTCATGAGTCAATACTGAGACAGTGAACATGGTCTTGGAGACTCTGCTCTGACTTTGGACTTGACAGTGTTTAAGGGTAACAGTTTGTAACTGCCCAAGTGCTTTGAAGAGCTCACACTGTCACAACAGTCACCTTCTGTGACCCTGCAGAGAAATAACCTGGAAGATAATATTCTGCACCTGGGAGCAAACATGGGACACAAGCTGGAGCCCCAGAAGCAGAGCTGCTCACACGCTTGGCATGGGAGAGCAGGAACCAGCGTGCACCAGTGAGGCGCTAGCTGGCCTTTCAAAGGGTGCACTGCTCAATGGGCTGGCCAGGAATTACTTCAGGCTTCCACACAGGATTGGCCATGGGCAGTGATGAACCTGAATCTTCCCTGAGACAGTTATCATGGAGTTTTGCCTGGTCTTTCTACTACATCCGTTGACACACCTTTCCATGGAGCTGGGAATCTAAGTTCCGGAACATTTTCTTTTCTGCTAGTTAACTACATATTTCTGTTTTTATTGTTCTTTCTCCTCTGTGTTTAAATCTATTATGAGGTGAATAAAAAATTTGCAGGAACTTTTTATACTTTGCTGAAGAGCAAATTTAATATCAACAGCACAGAAGGATATTAGAGTTCAGAATAACAAGGTAAAGCTTCTAGAGTACATTACACATCCCCTGAGCAACACCATAGGTCGTTGCTGATGAGACATCAGTGGCACTGTAGTGATGGGTGCTAATACTGGTCATGAGAATTTCTGTCCCCTGCCAGATCAAATGTACTCAAAACACCACAGGAATACTGTATGGGGAGCGGCCCGGAGCATCTCTTCCAAAGCAGTAATTTTTAATCTTTCAACCTCAATTCTTTTGCACATCTTGACAAGAAATACCTCTGAGATGGAAACAAATCTCCTTATTCCTGAAATCTGACAGAAACATCAGTGTACAATCAAGAGATGATGCAGCAGTTTAGTCTTTAACCCTAGGAGATCCTTGCACTGGGATTCCTTTCACAGGCCCTGCAAAAGTCCTGCAGGCACACCTACAGAAAGAATTTCTATGTTTAACTAAGGTTTAGCTTGCAAGAGCTGGAAATGGGGAGCTCTGTATGCTTAGGAGCAGAAGCTCTCATGTCTGTGGGGGGTCAAGGTGATCAGTCCCTCCTACTCTTTCAGGAGGATTGCAGATCCCCCTCTTCCTCAAGCAGCACAGGATCAGAGGGTACTACAGACAAGGGTATCAGCAATTGCATTGATCCTTCCAGCTAAACAAGGATTCAGATGTGCATTCAAACATCAGATTCTGATCATCCACACTGCTTAATCCTTAGGGTGCTGCTGTTCCCTTGTTTTCTAGAGTCCCTGCAGAGAAAGCACAGGTGTGAGCCCGGTGTGGCTGCATCCTGGCTCTCATTCCAGGCGCAGTGCAGTCAGCAGCAGTAAGACAAGCAGCTTGTTTGGGAGAAGTCAGAGGGTGCAAGTGTTATTTGCCAGCTTCCCAAGTATGTGAGTAACATACAAATACACTCTAGGCTTGTGTTAGAAGGCCATAAACATTCCCAAATTCAAAGACAGACAATTGCACTCATGGAGAATTATCTTGACTTGTGCTGTGACAGGATACCTCTGTCTACCCTGTCAAGACCTCCAGGAGTGTTAGCTCCCATACAGAAAGACCATTAAATCTGATTTATTTCTTAAAACATGCATACATACATATATATATACACATATATTTTCTTTTATAATGTTGTTCTGGAAAATATTTCCAGAGATTCATCTAAAATCCCCTGCCTTAGCACCATTCCAGAATTATTCAATATGATTAGCCTACCACACACTGGTAGCTTACTTCCCCAAATCTGTGCTAATATCCTAGCTTATTTTTATGGCCAACACATAGAAGAGTCTAATGTGGCTGAGATGCTCTGGTGATGACTCACCCAATTCAAACTGGTTGGAAAGGTTACCACAGGTTTGTCTGACTTCTTCACTGTCCCAGCCAAGAGGATAGAGGGCACAACCAGAGCCAATCAACAAGCCTGTGGGGAGAAAAGGAAATAAAAGTTTATACAAGCAATTGTCATTAGCTTAAACAAAGGCTGCCACTTGGGAATCAAAATGTCAAACTGCAATTTGGGAATCCTAGAGAAAGTCTCTCCACCTAAAAATATTTGGACTGCTGCCTTCTGCTGCAGTGTTTTAGAAGTGATCTGTGGGCTGGAGCCAGTCTGAGTGGTTCAGTATCAGATGCCATGCTCAACTTCTGAAGCTATTATCTGAGAACTTTTAGACTCCTCTTCTACTCTCCAGAATGGCTTAATATGCAGTTTGGAATACACAACATGTGGTTAAATAGAAGTGTGTTAATGCCAGCATTTACAAGTTGATTGCTTCTGATTAATTAAAACAACAATCAATCAGGGTCCATCTAGGTTCCATCAGGAAAAGTGACAGTTGTGCTAATCTGTTGCCATTTTGCTTTGTTTTTCACTCTCTCAAAAGCAAGATAATAATGGTTTCATACCACTTGATCAATGCATACCACAGGTACACACTCCACAAACTTTTCCTGATTCATTCAGCAGAAACAACAGAGATCTTGAATCATGTTATCATATTTGGTTTAACACTCACAAGACACTTTGCTTTCTCCAGCTGTCATGCTGCCCCAAACAGACGTGTTTTGGCAAATCCTGTCCCTTCACAAGGCATCGCAGAGAATCAGCAATGCACCCATGCACCATGACTGTTTTGCAGAAGTGGCATTTTTATCATATTGCATTCTCAGCTGTCGCTGCAGCAGCTGCCAAAAGGCCAGTGTAGCTGGCAAAGCATTTTACACAGCCTAGAGAGAACATTTCAATGTATGTTACAACATTTACATGTTGCCTCCTTTGCGTCAGATCTTATTGATGAGATTGGAAACAAATCACTGTGTAGATAATGGGCTAGGATCACCTGTCACTGCACAGGCTGTAAAGCCAAGCAAGCCCTCCCAAGGTTTGCAGGGGTGCCTTTTACCTGCTAGGCAGAGCACGAGGTTTCAAGCCCTACAGCTGTCACGGCTGCCTTTGGGCATACCTCTTGACCTTACATAATCTTGCTCCTCTTCTCTTGATGATAAGGAGCAGTGCTCCATGGCAAAACACTTCTGCTGCCATGCTCCCAGGGCAAAAAAGCCCTGGGTGTTGTGACAGTCACTGTGGGCATCACACCAGTCTAACAGGAGTCCTGAGAGGGATGATGGCTTAGGGCCTGGAACTTGGCATACCTTTCTACTGTATCCATTCTCAAGACACCTAAGCTTCTCATATTGCTGTAAGATATCTCCTGTAAGATACAGAAATCATTTTATAATGTTCTTGATTTGCTCAAAGACACAGCTGAACAAGGCACTGAAGTCCAGAAGTGTTATCTCATCTGTCTTCAAAATTAGCTTCCTGGATCTTCCTCCAATAAGTTCAAATTTCTTCTAGCTGCTCAAGCCTACTTTTTCCTTCCCTTGTTGAACAGTCATTGCCTTTCTCCTGCTCCTGTCTCCATATCTACATCAGATAATGAAAAAGAAATCCCCGAGGCAGCTCTCTCTCAGATGGAGCATTTGCCAACATCTGTGACAGAAGAAAAGCAATTAAGGTCATGTGAATGCTAGGTATTTTCAGAACTTTGCCTGATCTGGGTATGGTTGCTTCTAATGTCCTCACTAATATATTTCAAAGTAATATTTTTTTTTTTTTTTTTTTTTTTCCCCTAGGGCCATAGAGCTAAGGGCAGCTGGTAGAATCCATGTAAATGAGAATCACTTCTAGTTAAATTCTCAGAAAGGATGTTTCTCAGACAAAAGAATTTAGGCCAAAACTGGGTCTACTTTTCTTAAAAGCAGTCTAAGATTCTCAAAAAAAAAGCCCCTGCTGATTTTCTCTTGAACTGTTAAAGCAAGAAAGGTGTTGTGAAGCCAGCATGGGAGGTGTGCTAGGAAGGGGCAGGACCCCATAGGGCAAGGAGAAAGGTCACCACTGATTATGAGAATAGCCAGGGAAGGGAGGAAGAGCACCTAGATGCCAGCGTCTCTTCACAGACCAGTGGACTGTGGCAGCCCCAGCCAGTGTTGCCATGGTTCTGACCCCTTCCCACTCTGTTCGTGGTGCCTGGTGCCGGCCCAGGCAGCCACAGCTTAGGAGCTGCTCTGCCCAAAGTGAACTGTCCTGGCTGGGCTGTTTGCAATCAACTTGTGCGCCTGAACAGACTGTCTGGGAGACCTCACAAGAGAGGGCTCTGTTGCAAGGGCAGGGAGATGTATGCAGGGGGCAGGAGGGACAGCAGGTTTGCAACCACCAGCCCTGGACCAGATTAAACTTCGGCCAGCCCTTCCTCACAAACAGGTCCTGGGAAAGCCTTCTGCCCAGTTCTTCCAGGAGAGCATAACAGCAGCACTGCAGGCCAGTGAAAGGACTATTAGCATAACAATGCTGCTCCTCCAAACCCAGAACAAGCTCTTACTCAGCCCTTGCCAATTATTCTCCTCAGGTGGCAAGAGTGTCTAGTGCCCATTGCATTCACAGAGTGTTTGTTTTCAGCTCTCTTTAGGTTTTGTTGCAGCAACAGGTTGTTGTTTGGGTTTTTCCCACGAGTATTGCTCACAGCACTTTCCACTGCCACTCTCCAAACACAGCTCATCCTTTTCCAAACATGAGTACCTGTTTGCTCTTTCTGCCTCTGATGTTACAGTGGATCAGTAATCACAAAGCTTGGCAATTTATCTCCTTCCCTATTCAGGCCCCTCTTTTCCCATTTCTGTACACCATATCTGTAAGTTCAAAGCCCAGCTTCAGTGAAAATAAATTCTGGGGTTCAGTCAAAAATTCCTTAGCAATGCAATATACTGTAATGTTGGATTGCTCCAAAGGAGCTCACACATGGATGCTGGCCCTTAAAGCCATTGCAACACTGTCTAACAACCAGCCCACAGCACCCACTGCTGAGCCTTACCATTAGCTGTGCCTCCTATTAAGAGATAAACCAAATAAGGGAAAACTATGTCAAAAAGCCTCCTTATCCCAGTGACAGCTGGCTCTCCAGCTGGGAAGGAGCTTTATCAGCACTGAGTTTCACTTGTGGAGTACCAGTCATTGAGAAGTGCAGCTTCTTTTCCTCTTGCAGCCTGTGCTGACTGGGATGGCAAGCTCAAATGGGAGACTGCTGCCTATTGCTGGTGCTGCCACATGACCCTAAAGCATGAGTGGCAGCATGCTTATGTGCAAAGGACAAGGTATAAAGCTTATTGGATCTTGGGCAAGATCACACACTTCTTTGAGTGAACACAAGACCTTTCAGAGACCACTCCTGGGGTGCCAGGAGTGCCCATCTGACAGAAAGACTTACATAAATACTTGTTTTGTCACAGGTACCCACTGGCCACAAGATTTAAAGCTGTTGCTCTGACATGTCCTTTGTTATCATTTGTTTTCAGCTGGTTTTGACTGACCTTCAGACAGTTCCCTTTTGTGGTGCGTATGCACCTGCTGTGCACTTGTGTCCTCCAGTATTTCTTGCAGGCAAAGTTCAGGCCAGGCTCAGGGATTTGCCTTCAGCATGAGATTTCCACAAAGATTTAAAGCCTGCTAGTCAGCAAGAAAAAGTTTCACAAGCTGTGCTTTATGCCCCGAGGTATATTTATATGTATGAACATGTGTGTGTCATGTCTCATTGCTTTCAGCAGGATTCTACATGACTTCAACAGGGCTGATGCTGCCTTGGTTTGCATGGGCACTGCAGCTGAGAACTAACATTTAGCCCCCCTTATTTTAGGCACTGGAAGTGTGGATTGTGCCTCAAAGCCTGTGGTGTTAATAGGATTTGGACAAAAGCCCCTCAGTCCCTTCCTTCCCTTCTAATCAACCCATCCCTGTTTGTAAGCAATTGTGTGGATCACATCCTCCAAAAGCAAAAAGGCTGCATACCATTACCACTAATAATTCATACATGCTCACAGCCAATTTATTTAATCACAGAGGATGCAGATCCTGCTGAACAGCTGCAACCTTCAGTGAAAGATCCAAGCTGAATCCAAGGGCTGCAAACCCAGTGGAAATCATTAAGTTAATTTTGCAGCTTCAGTAAAGAGCAGTTATTAGTTTAGCTCAAAAGTCATTCTGGCCAGCTCTACAGCTATTTCATGTAGCCAGCTATGCTACCCATGATTCCACACCCATATTTACAGCTGCTTAAAATGCTTAGGATGCCTATAACATTTTTTTTAAAAAGGAAGAAAACCAAAACCAACAATCTGCTGTAATTACCATCCTCTGCCATCTTCCTCTATCCACTCTATCCACTACAGTCGTGAAAAGAAATTGAAAGGGGAAGGAAATGTGCAGGTCCATAAATGGCACTTTCACAAAAGGGGCTGCAGCCTCGAGGTGTGAGGGACCCAGTCGGTGGGCTGGGGCGAGTCAGCAAGTGGAGGTGCTGGTGGCACATGGCAGCTGTTTTAGATGACATACCATGTACCAGTGGAGGTGTTGGCACTGTCACAGACCAGCTTTTCCGGAGAGGTTCCATATTTGGGAATGAACCAGGCTCCTTGCCCTGCTCTCTGAAGCACTGCTATTGTGAATGCTGCATCTGACTCAATGTGCTAGCAAGGCATGGGGAGAGACATGCAGGGCTGACTGAGCACAACCAGCCTTGACAATCCAAAACTGGAATTAAGACCTTGGCTTCAGTACTTAAGAGGGTCCCAGACAGCCCCATGGCTCTTTGCGTGGTCCATGCAGAATGATGGATCCCTTCAAAAAGCGATCTAAAACTAGCCTATGTGGCTAAGTGAGGAGCTGCCCAGACCTACAGACTGTACAACTGCAAACCTGGGGGTCAGACAGTGGATGCCTTAATATTAAACCATCCAGAGTAATCCTTGTCCCTCCCAGACTGCTTTCCCTGTCACTCTTGCTCTGAGTATAATGCATGATCATATTTTAGTAACACTTAGCACTTGAAAGATGATCTTGTCTGTCTGGAGTGGTGTTTGTGATTGAAA